AAAAAAAAAAAGAACCAAACCTCTACAAAGTACATAATTTATGGTTAGAATCAAGTCTTTGATTTTTTAACCAAAAAACAAAGTCCTGGCCGGGCACAGTGGCTCATCCCTGTAATTCTAGCACTCTAGGAGGCCGAGGCAGGAGGATGGCTTGAGGTCAGGAGTTCGAGACCAGCCTCAACAAGAGGGAGACCCCATCTCTACTATAAATAGAAAGAAATTAGCCAAACAACTAAAAACAGAAAAAAAAAAAAATTAGCCGGGCACGGTGGTATATGCTTGTAGTCCCAGCTACCTAGGAGGCTGAGGCAAGAGGATCACTTGAGTCCAGGAGTTTAAGGTTGCTGTGAGCTAGGTTGACGCCACAGCACTCCAGCCTAGGCAAGAGAGTGAGATCTGTCTCAAAAAAAAAAAACATAGTCCTTCATTCTCATTCCAAACTTAACTATGGTGCTTATTAGAGATGGTAGTCAGATGAAGAGGGGGGAAAGACTAGGGAAAGTCAGTGTCTGGGTTTCAACTCTTCCATCAAGTAATTGTGTTAAGATGCATAAGCCATGACTTCTCCAAGCCTTCATTTTTTTTTTCTTTTTGTAAAATAAAGAAGAGCAGTTGATTCCTGCAGTCCTTTTCAACTAAAAGATTTAAAATTCTGGTGCTACCTCTTTTCCATTTTCATAGAAGTCCAAACTTAACAAGGAAAAGATCACCAGATTAGACTAGCTAATATCAAAATTACTTCAGTACATAAAAGATGGCATAACCAAAGATAAAGGGCAATATGGAAGTGACAAAATATTATAGTGAATGAGAAAGGCTTTAAATCTATATTATCTAAGGATATTGTCCAAATTCATTTTAAGTCATCAAAAAATCGAGTAGGTGTGAGTCAAAAGAAACTGATAAGAGATAAGTGAACACACGGGGAAAATATCTAATAGCACAATTATCAAAGGAATTCAAAACTAAACAATCTTTTTAATTAGGAAAAACTTAAAATACTACACAACACTGTAAAAGATGGTGAAACTATTAGGCTTACAACAAAAGCAAAAAATGTTGTTACTACTTGATTTTTTTTTTTCTTTAAGACAGAGTCTCGCTCTGTTGCCTGGGCTAGAGTGGCATGGCGTCAGCCTAGCTCACAGCAACCTCAATCTCCTGGGCTCAAGTGATCCTACTGCCTCAGCCTCCCGAGTAGCTGGGACTACAGGCATGCACTACCACGCCTGGCTAGTTTTTTCTTTTTTTAGTTGCCCAGCTAATTTCTTTCTATTTTTAGCAAAGACAGGGTCTCGCTCTTGTTGAGGCTGGTCTCGAACTCCTGACCTCAAGCGATCGCTCCCATCTCAGCCTCCCAGAGTGCTAGGATGTTATTACTTGATTAAAAAGCGACATGAGGGCTGGGTATGGTGGCTCACACCTATAATCCTAGCACTCTGGGAGGCCAAGGCAGGAAAACCCTGTCTCTACAAAAAATAGAAAAAATTAGCTGGGCATGGTGGCACATTTCTGTAGTCCCAGCTATTCAGGAGGCTGAGACAGGAGGATCACTTGAGCCCAGGAATTTGAGGCTAGAGTGAGCTTCGATGATGCCACTGCACTCTAGCCAGGGCAATAGAGAAAGATTCTGTCTAAAAAAAAAAAAGGCAAAATGAGCCAGCTCGTGGTACAATGGATAGCACACTGGACTTCTAGATGAGCCTAGTATGGTTATTCGAAAAGCAAAATGGCTCACCCAAGCTCACCAGTGCATTTTAGAATCCATAAGTAATATGACCAGATATGGTGTGCCTCCTAATGATAAAATATGAAGTATTCTTGCCAAAAAAGTTTACCCTGAACCTAATCAAGCTACTGGGGCAGCTGTTTCTCAAATTGTGATCCAGAAGACTCTTTCACTAGGTGGTCCATGAGATCAAAACCATTCTCATAATACTAAGACATTATCTGCCTTTTTCACATTCTCTCATGCACGTATATTAGAATTTTCCAGATTTACTTGGCTACTTGGTGTATGTTATCACAAGGTAATGAACACAGAAGTCTATTCTATTATGGCAGACATTAGAGATGTACAGAAATATAAAACAATGCCACTTCTCACTATTTTTTGTTTTGGCAAGTAGTTATTTTCCATTTGAAATATGTTTTTATG